TCTCTGTGGACTGGCTGCTCTAATTGGGGTCATCGCCCTCAAGGCCTGGTGGGCAATATATACTCTTGACAAAGTAGCGTCACAGCTGCTACAAAAGTGCGCTCTTTATTTGCTATGGTAGAATCATAGTGCATGTTGAAAATAAAAGTAAGAGGTGAAGTGTCATTGCAGGACTTACCCCTCTGTTAATATGTATTTGGACAGTAAATGGAAGTAGCCTCAATTATAATTCAAAAGTCTTTTGGTTAAGCAGAAATGGTTGTTCAAACCCTTCCCATGGCTCTGTGGGAGAAAAATCCTGGCAGGGCTCTGTGGGAGAAAAATCCTGGCAGTCTGCTCCCCCATGGGGGAAGTCTACTTTCTCACCTGGGGTCACACTGAATAGAAATCACCTCAGTGGCTCCCAGCATCAACAGTAGGTAGTAGACAAACACTGCACTAATTTGTCAGAAAAGGTTCATTTTGGGTAAGATTGAGTAATTTAATAGTTGGTTTATATAGGCCACAAATCTTTTTTTGATTAAGAAAACGCAATTCAAGATAACCCAAGACTAAGGGAGAATGCCATCAGGAAAACAATGCATCTATAAGGATCTAGAGGAAGATAAATTAAGTGAAATGAGACTGAGTCATTGTAAATAAGTTTGTGTTGTTAATATTTTTATAGTGAGGACACTGTCATTGCTTTTTGATACAACAAATATTTTCAAAATACTGGGTCAGTGCTTTGGGAGATAACTGGTGATTCTCTTTCCTGTCTTAGCACAGTACATAACAGGAGGCTGGTCAGTGTTTATATGTTGACTGATTGTGCATCTGAATCTGCAGCTTGATGTAGTTCACTATGTCAAAATAGAGCCCCTTGTAAGATTAATCACCGCTGTGTCTTTGGGAAGACTTTGGATTTTTCCTCACCATTTATCAAGTAGCAGTGAGCTTTCCCTTCATTTGGAAAGACTGATGTAGCAGGATCCACCATCACCAGTAGCTTGAGAAGACATGACTCTTTGGTTTATAAAACCCTACTACCTTCCATTTGATTCTGGCTTAGAGTGACCCTGTAGGACAGGGTAGAACCATTCATTTAGACTCTCAAGACTGTAAGCAATTCTTTACAGCAGCAGATAATCTTTTTGTTCCATGGAGCAGCTGGAGGGTTTCAACAGTCGGTCTTGCAGTTAGCAACCTAATGCTTATCCCATATAGCATGACCAGGCTTCCGTTTGTGCGTGCAGTTGGACTGAAACTGGGAAACGAGGTACTTCTAGTTAGGTCTAAAACTTATAAATGGGACCTCGATGACCTCTGGAATTGTTATGTCAGCGGCTCACAACCTGTGGGTTGAAACCTGTGTTAGTCTGGGTACTTTAAAGAAACAAATCCACAGAAACTCATGTGTAAGAGAGAGTTTTATATAAATGTTAAGTGTGCATCAAGAAAACATCCCAACTCAGTGCTTCCCAATAACCCATATGTCCAACACCAATCCATAAAGTCCTCATCCATCTCACAAAACAGACTGCAGGATGATGCCGACTGCAGGAGGAAAGCCAAGTCAGTGAGCGTGTAAGCATCTCAGCACTGGCAGGGGTCTTCACATGGGTGCTCCAGCACCCGTGACTGCATAGGGGTAGGTCCATGTGGCTTCTCCTTGGGGATGTCTTGCAGGAAGTCAACCTTGCCAGCTGAAGCAGGGAACTGACTAAGGCAGCTGCACCCTGGTCCAACTGTCAGAAAGCATGAGACCCGAGAACGAGGTTCACAGAGCCATTCATCCCTCCGCCCTTCAATTAACCCCACATGTCTTTATCGTCCAGGTTTTCACAATAAACTAACGATCCTCTCACAGGGATCGCCCAATGCATAACATTAGTAAAATTATAGTTATAAAGTAGCAACGAAGGTAATTTTATGGTTGGGGGGTCACCACATCATGAGGAACTCAATTAAAGGGTCGCGGCATTAACCACTGCTTATGTAGAAGTTAAAAAAGTGCTCAGGGTATGATTCAACTTTGCTTTTTCAGTTTGTTTTATTCAGAGAATGAGTTTTGTTCTAGAAATAATATGGAGCATGTACATGACAAGAATATATAACATTGAAAAAGTTTAAGCCTACTAATTAAGCATGTTTCTCTCTGCAGGTATAAATTGGCTTCCTGAGATTCTGTTTTAGCAGGAAGGCAGTGGGAAGACTCTGGGAAAGAAAACAAAAGTTATCGGGAAGCCAGGATCTCTTTTTACATGGTGGTCAACTCACTCACCAACATGGAGCCCTTTCCCAGCACCTTTCCCCCGGCTGGAGACAGCGCATTGACGCACTCTCAAACTGAGTTCCAAAAGATGTTGATTGATGAAAGGTTACGATGTGAACATCACAAAACAAATTATAAATCTCTGAAAGCTGAGCACACAAAGTAAGTGGTTTAAATTTAGAGGTTGGGGGCCATGGTCAAAGTAATAAAGTTACGAGGACGGTTTGGACTGAATGTTTGCCCTGGAAGATACATTATAATTTTGTGAATTTACCTTTTTAATATTTTTTTAGTTCAATAAACATTTTTTTGGCTTTAAAATAAATGTAAAACTGATCCTGATCATTATCATTGCATATGAATTTTCAAAAATTCTTGTTTAGAAAGCAAGACATATCTGATAACGTGTATCTCAATGAGCTAAATGTATTTTTCTCCCACAAAATAGAATTATATGAATAAGCAGTTAATAACACAGCCCAACCAAATTTTTTTTTCTTTTTGATATCTTGGTTTTTTAGCCTGTTATTTGGGACGCTGATTCAGAAAATTGCATTGGGTAGACCACATCAGCTCTAGCTTCTTAGACAAGATGTTCCACTATATTTTCAGCTACCAAGTTCAACTATTATGTAATTTATCATCCTAGTTTTACATATGAGAATTCAGATCCACAGACTACAGGATAAGACAAAAAAAGGGAAGATATATATGAAGAAGTTAGTTATATTGCAATATATACAGAGACTATAAGTTGGATTCTGTAAAGCCAGAATATAGCTTGAGAAGAGTGGAAATGAAAAAGAAAGTTGAAAAGGCACACATATGAGTGGTATGAGGGCAATTTAGAGTTTATTTTTTCTGTGCACAGGTGGAGAAGGCCTGCCATCTTATAACTATAACAAGACAGGAACAATTTAATTTAAGAAAGGAATTTGCACTGACAGACCCATTTTTGAGTTTCAGGACATTTGAATCTCTATTTATTGTACCAAACTCACTTAGCAACCATATAGGACAGAGTGGAACCTCCATGGGTTTCTAAGGCTATAAATCTTTGAAAGCAGAAAGTCTCATTTTTCTCCTGCAGAGTGGCTGGTGGGCTGAAATAGCAAACACATAACCCCCTACACCATCAGGGCGTCTTATTTATTGTACAGCAACTCATATTTCTGGCCCCCCTTTTAACATAACAAATTGGAACTACCTGCTTTTCACTTCCTAATAAAGGTGAAGTGTTACTTGTAGAAAATTCCAAGGTCGTGTAATTCGCACTGTTCAAATATATCTTAGGATTAAAGAACACCATGTGAAGTATAACTTGACCTAAATAGTCAGTACAATGAAAGTATATTAAATAAAGCCAGTGTGTACCACACAGACTATGTTTACTTATTTAGTACAACACAAATATGTTACAATACAACTACATCATTTTACAATACAGCTACGTTAAATAAAGCTACTTTATCTAAGGCTAGCAAACATTACACTAAAAGGCCCTGATTTTTTATTTATCTATTTTGACTTTGCATGATATATATTTTTATTTTTTGGTTAAGGCTCTGATTTTTTATGCATGAGCAGAGTGAAGAGTGATTTTTGCCATATGTTCCGTATCCCCAAAACTAGAGCTGATAGGGGAAAACTTGTGCCATTTTTGGAATCAGTAGGATAAATATATCTAGTAGTAAATCTAATGTTTGAGGCCTCAAAAGATGTATTGGCCAGTGAATTAAATCAAACGCAGGAAAGAAAAAATATTTCCCCTTCTAAGGGGCTAGCATTGACCTTGTTGGTTGACTTTATGTAAAGTAATGTATGTAAAGTAATTACTGTGCATAAAGTAATGGAAAGGATAGACTTAGCATTGACGGTTTTTTGTTTTTTTTAAATCAGGTTGCAGAATGAGTACATAAAGTCACAAAATGATCTCAAGAGACTGTTAAATGAGAAGCAAACTCACCAGGAAAAATTTCAGCTGCTGCTTGCAGAGCTAAGAGAAGAATTAGTAGGAAAAACTAAAGAGTTAGAAGAAATAAAGGCACAGGTGAGAAAACATATTTGAAGTAGGAGTCTCAAAGTTGGATATTTAGCGGAAATAAGTAGTTTTGATAAATTCTCTCAAGTCTTAGTAATTATTTTGCTGTATCTCCACATCTCCAGGAGACATAATTTCATTTTATTTGCATATTATAGAATATTAGCTAATTGATAGTATACTATCTATTGTTACTAGGTGCTGTCCCAAGTCAGTTTTGACTCCTTGCAACTCTAGATATAACAGATGGAAACACTGCCCAGGCCTTTGACATCTTCACAGTTGTTATATTTCAGTGTGCTGTTGCAGTCACCGTGTCAGTCCATCTGCATATGACTTACACAGATTTAAATATTTTAATACTTAGAAAAGTTGGAACAAAAGCCAGTTTGAATTGATTAACATTCTGAATTAAAGATTACATTTTTAACGAATCAATTACTAATTTTCTTGTAAGTATTGTAACTGAAACTGGGCTAAAAAAGACTGATAGCAGTTTAATATCTGATACGTCCTCTATCCGAGGACAATATATTAAATGGATTTTTGGAGCAGGGAGATGGAATAGGAGCTTGCTCTGTCCACTCCACGCATCGACCTGGTATTGCAGTACTTCCAGGAACGGTGCACCCCCTCGGGGGACTTAGAAAAAAAAAAAAAAAGAGATGAGTGCTTGAAGCCAAACTCTTACACCCAGAAACCTCAGAAAGGTAACCAAACCAGAGCAAGACTTATCACCATCGAGTCGATGGTGACCCTTTAGGACAGAGGAAGCCTGTACCTTAGGGTTTCCAAGACCACTTCCTCTTTCTTCCCTGGAGGGGGGATTTTGACCTGCCAACCTTTAGATTAGCAGCCCGATGTTTAATGCACTATGCCACAGGGCCCCTTTCAGACAGGCAAGCCATTACTCAATCACTTAATATCCTCGATTCTACTCACCCAGGATGATCCTGGTACCTTTCAGAAGCGGGCAGTGGATCATTTGGAGTGCACACGTCGCATTTTTCTACCAAGATCTTAAGGGAAAACGCTGAACACCCTCATGGGGTTTGGGTCTGAGATAAGCAAATATAAGCACTTTTGGGATCTCTGCCAAGCTCTCTGGGGCAGGGGCTCCCGTGCCCAAGCCAGTTAGACACGCTTTGTTTGGGGCAGTGTTTTCTTCACCTGCCTGCCGCAGAACGTCAAACCAGGCTGCCATTTCCCTTTCTGCAGGCTGGGGCCTAGACATGAGTGCCAATTGCCTGGGATTCCCCACTGACATCAGGGCTGATCTCTGGCTGGGCTCTGGCGTGATGTGTGCCAGGAGAGTGCCTGCAGGTGGCTTTCACCCAGCTGGCGTGGGAGGCAGGGGAGAGCCAGGAGTCAGATGTATGCTACTCCCTGTGGGCTTAGACACACGCACGCAGGTGCACTCACA